GAGCCCGGCACCTGCATCCTACACAGACAAACGACTATTCAGTGAAGAACATTTGTAGTCAGTAAAAAATATATTCAACTCATGCACAACATTCATCAGGTACTGGGCATACCTTACAGTAAGGCTACTAATGGGATTTTGAGCAGACACTTATCAGTATCAGTTTATTTGTCAGAGGGATTACCCCTGTCCCTATGCAAACAGCTGTATAATGTAGTGTTTCCCCTACGTTTACAGCTTTGAGGGGGAACACGTGTTTTCCGACGCACGCTGTCTGTCCGCTGGTGTGAGTGTGCTCACCTGTGTGCGCGCGCACATGTCTGTGTGTGTGTTTGCATCAGGGCAGAACTCCACAATGCGTGATACAGAAAGCATAATATAAGGGCAGGAGAAACACTGTAATGAAAATCTCAGTTCCCTTAATGGCATCCATGTTTTCCTCATTTGCATCTTAGTCCCACCCACAAAAAGATACATGAAAAAAAATGAGCAGAAGAGAAACATGTTATAAGAGATATGACATGTTCTTTCGTCTGATGCGTCATCTGAAGTGTTCGATCACTGATCTATGATAAAGGGGCGTGTCAGTGCACACCCCTTTATCATATTATTTCTCGTATCCTCTCTCATGGCTCCTCCAGGTAGCCTCCTTGCTCCCCAGAGCAGAAATATGAGGTTTGGGAAGTCCTTCCATAGAGTAGACCAGAACAACTTCCAGGTCAAACAAGGAGCAATGAAATAAGGGAAATGGGATTTACCCTGTCTCTCTGAAGGAACTTTTTTTAAGTCTAAGAAAATAATCCTGATTATGGCACCTGGATTATTCTGTATTTGCACTGAGACTTCATCAGAAATTGTGGTTCCAAACAATTCAAGCATCTAGCGAGTTTGAAAGATGTGGACATTTAAAAGGAAAACCTAATGACAGACACTACCGAGTTGCATTATGGGAATTGTAGGATCCAGTGTTTTTGGAGCTTGACCTGCACTAGGAAAGAAAAGGCAGAATATCTTTGCCTCTGCTTTGATTTTGACCATTTTAAATCTGACTCATATAAAGCCTTTAATTTAATTATAGTGTAAAGAAAAATCACTGAAGAGCCCCTTAAAAGAAAACCGGGTTTGTATTGTGAGTGATGAACACTTAACCAATGACAGTATGCTTGGACAATAACCCTCAGTGCAATACATTGTACAGATTATACAGGTCTCTAGTTCTTAAGTACTCTATTTTTATCCCTATTTATCTCATTTCAATGAATATTCCCTTGTCTGCATTGTTACTGTCTGTTCACACTGCTTTTCTGCATTGTTTGCACCGTTTGTTGATGTTAATACTGCTATTTTGTTATATTACACAGCCTTATGCTGGTTTACTGTTGCACATTGAGAGCTGATGTACCAGAGTCAAATTCCTTGTGTGTCCGTCACACCTGGCCAATAAAGCTGATTCTGATTCTGAGCTCATAATCTTAAATAACTTGGATGTGTCTTATTAAGTTTTGTTTTTTTACCTTCAGCTCCTTGGTAAAGTGGTAGGTGACTATGGCAGTGAATGAGGAGAACAGGGGAGCCAGGAAGACACAGACATTACGGATGTCAATGGTGATGTGGAAAAAATGTAGAATGTGGTACAGGACAGCAGATGTGATCATCAGTCCTAGTGAAGAAGAACAGAGGGAGAGGTTATGTGACATCTCTCTTCTAAACCTCATTCCACATGTGAACTTTTCTACTTCTGATGTCAAACAACCCTGAAAATGTTTGATCTTGTACTTGCATATTTGTACTCTTCTCTGGTCATGTAATAAGATTCCTACCTGGATAGATGGTGCCACCAATGATCCTCCCCAAGGGATACCATGCCCTATCATCAAACCAGTTGTGAAACTTATAAAATCCTTCTTCTGCCAAGAAGCGGGTTGTACGGTAGTTGAAGTATCTGAAGATGAGATACAGGTAAAAGTGAGACATTACTTTAAAGAGGAAAATCAATCAATCCATTGACGTAACCATGACACTAGGAGCACTTACGGATCAAACTCATGGATGACACTTTCAAACCTCAAGACAGAAAAGAGTCTGGTGGAGAATGCTGAAGAGAAGAAAAGGCACATAGTGATCCAGGTGTTATGTTTGCTTTTGGAGACAGTGCTGCTGTGTATAGGTAAAGTAAAGGACTCACAGAGGACAGCGGCCATAGACAGGATGAGCAGCTTCAGCAGTGTGTCCTGTTTCTCATAAGACAAACGCAGGAAACCCAGCTTGGTCATTTTGGCGAGGTTAGGGACAGCTCACCGTACTACCTAATGGGAGGAAGACAAACACTGGAAAATTGCGACAGCTATGGAGAGGAGCACTGCAGTAGCATCTTTAGTCTGACACCGCCTAAGACAGGCTTAACTTATAGAAAAATAAATCCTGCAAAATGAGACAATGTTTTCAAGCTCTTTTTAATCAAAGCAAACACTCTGGGGGAGAAAAAAAAAACAAGACGTGCAACTCAGTAGTCAACTTCTATGACCAGCCCAACCAGATAAGGCCACGCACTCAGACATGGCGTCGGGAACCAGGAAGCACCCACTTTGGAAAACTTTTGCAAGGAATTGTGCATGATTTATTCAGATTTTGCAAAGCGAAAACACAAACCAACAAGCTCAGTCGAACTAAGTAATGCTAACTTCCAAAACAGCATAATCAGAAGGAGCCTTAGAGGTATTGACAGCTAAACAACCTTTCCAACATCAGACACAGGACATGAAAAGCAGCTAATATTTGCTACTAACACTCATTAGGTGCACATTTGAAATGAATGCAAGCATTGCTATAGATTACACAGCATCTTAGTGCTAGTCAACACCAGGCCGGCGAGTGCCGATGCTGCTTCCATCCAGCTAAACGTGTGAGTAGCGTTAGCTAGTAAGGCTAACTGCTATTTAATAAATACCCTACCTCCGCGTTTCTACTCTGACTTATTTTGAAAATACCAGGCTCCTTCACATATGACAGCAACAGAACAGGTCTAAATGAAAACTAATACTTCTACATGAACTAAGAAGTTTCATATTTAATGTTCAGTAAGACTCACCCGCTTCGCTCCTGTTACTCATGCAGTTTTCACACACAACCTACACTGTGAACTAATCCCACCCCTAACATAGCAGAGTGCACGATTATTGGCTGAACGTAAACCAAGATCGATACAATTGGTTCTTCAGTTGTCATTCAAATTTGGTTCCCTACCTTGCTGCTGTAGTATAGTGACGTGTCCTTATTAGCAAAAGAAAACATGTTGCCCCCTACTGGTTCAATATTCCTTAGTATTCTTCACCAAAAATAAATATCAAACTAGAAAATTGCATTTTCTGAGGAAAATGCGTATGGATGCTGAGTGCTGAAAGTTTGCCCTGAAAATGCTGAACGTTTTGACACCTGAATGGTTTTGCTAGCTGAAAGTAAGCTGAAGTAGAATTTTCCCATTCATTTGAATGGGATGAGGTTTTCAAAATAAAGCTGAATATTTTAAAAAGTATGAAGTTTAGAAAACTTCTGAAGAGAATCATGTATGTCCTTGAGGAACTGAACATTTTGATATCTGAAATAGCTGAAAGTATGTTGAAGCAAAAGCACTCCATTCATTTGAATGGGGTGAGATTTTCAAAATAAAGGTAAATATTTCAAAAGTATGTTTAGAAAGTTTAGAAAACCGCTGAAGAGAAGCATAAATGTCCTTGAAGAGCTGAACATATTGATTGCTGAAATTATGCTGAAGTAGAATTGTCCCATTCATTTGAATGGGGCAAGGTTTATAATTTGTCCTGTGTCTCCTTTGCTGATACAGAATGTCCATGGTATCTGAGTCGCCCATACAAGCAAGTTTTTGCAGAACTGGTCTGATGTTGAGTCTCTGGATAACGACACCACACCGGTGTTTTTCCTCCATTTCCAGAGCTCCAAAAGCCGCCCAGCAGCAAGCCCCATCCCCTGACGAGTGAGAGGAGCACAACATCAAATGAAATCAAATCAAATCAAATTTTATTTGTATAGCGCCAAATCACAACAAAAGTCATATCAGGACACTTTACAAAGTAAGGTCTAGACCTTACTGTTATCAATATTATTACAGAGGAAAACCCAACAAATCCCCTTGAGCAAGCACTTGGCGACAGTGGGGAGGAAAAACTCCCTTTAACGGAAGAAACCTCCGACAGACCCCGGCTCTTGGTGGGCGGCCTTCTGCCTCGACCGGTTGGGGTGAGTGGATAGAGGAGAGAGGAAAGAAGAAAAGCAACAAGACACAACAAACAATCGAACACTGGTCAAGTTGATGTAGCCGGTGACTGCTCATCAGAAATATAGAGCTCCAGGGCCAGGGCAACCTGCAGAAAGGTACAGGGAGAGAGAGAGGACACACTACAGGAGAGAGGAGACACAAAGTTAGTAATGTGTAATGGTGGCATATAGAAGCATAGGGAGAACCCTATTGAGCATCTGTGGGGCATCCTGAAACGGAAGGTGGAGGTGCGCAAGGTCTCTAACATCCACCAGCTCCGTGACGTCATCATGGAGGAGTGGAAGAGGATTCCAGTGGCAACCTGTGAAGCTCTGGTGAACTCTATGCCCAAGAGGGTTAAGGCAGTGCTGGAAAATAATGGTGGCCATACAAAATATTGACACTTTGGGCCCCATTTGGCCATTATCACTTAGGGGTGTACTCACTTTTGTTGCCAGCAGTTTAGACATTAATGGCTGTGTGTTGCGTTATTTTGAGGGGACAGCACATTTACACTGTTATACAAGCTGTAGACTCACTACTTTACATTGTAGCCAAGTGTCATTTCTTCAGTGTTGTCACATGAAAAGATATACGTAAATATTTACAAAATGTGAGGGGGTGTACTCACTTCTGTGATATACTGTATTTTAATTTAAACATTAGATATCATTTCACTGTTACTAAATAAATATCGGGGTAAGACATTTTCAAAACATTTCAGTTTTTATTTACACAGCATCCCAAAGATTTTGGAAATGGGACTGTATTATACTGAATGGCACATAGGGATACAGGTAGCACAACATTCAACACATTCATATTTTAGTAATTTGAAATGTGATTGCCTTCTCTGCGGGGTCTCAAACCAACTCAAACTGTCCCATCTGATCCCCTTTAATCAGTCAGTCCATCAGTGTAAAGGCTTTGCACTGATCTATTAATTCCTGTCTAATCGGTACCATGGCTTCAAACTCTTGAAGAGTGAACAAACATTTTAAATACTGACCAATTTTATTGAAATTATACATATTACTTTCACAAAATCTCACTCACAAACATCAGTCTACACAAACACTATGCTCTTCTTATAATAATTGCACAGGGTTTTAAAATCATGGCCCCTCCCATGGCCACAAGCTCTGATGAGCAAGCAAAGATTTGGTGACTAGGTCGTTGCATGGTGGTGGGCTTCTGGTTGAACATTCAGAATGTATTAATACTATGTACAGCACAAATCCAAACAGCCAGTGATCCTAAGGAATCAGTTATATTTGCTTTAGCTCTCAGAAGGAAACCAAGAGCAAGCAGGTCAAGGCTATTTGTTAAGATATAAAGACTTCAACTACAGGACTCCTTCCTTTATTACAGAGCTTAGAATTGTAGTGGTCAAATTAAACTAACAAAACATTAATACAGCAGTTTGGCTGTGTCATCTCCCCCATCACCTACTAAAGTCACACAGACTGAAAACACTAAGACAGCTCTTCCTCTGCTGGTGTCACCTTGTGATTTGCATCACATCAGACAGTGAAGTGACATTTTAATTCAGGATGCCACACCAATCAAACCTTTAGTCACCACACAACAAGAGTGACTTTGTTATTAAGCTTCCATTACTAAGGTCACCAATCATTTTTACGGCAGCACCTTGCTGATTTGTAAATTCTACTAAAAACAAAGCTGTAACAGGATAAAAATCATCCTCACTTTTTACCTGTACAGGGTTTTCCCTAGAACTGCTTGGACACCAGAACTTGCCATATTTCCATGTGCAAGAAAGCATTCGATCTGCGAGGAAGGAATGTGACTTGCAACATCAAGAAAACATGTACTGTAGGCAAACAAGACCATTTCACTTCTGAATGCAAACAACCCCTTTCAAAGTTAAAAAAATCCTTTAGTCAAAACTTTGCTTAAACATTATCACTACATAATTTCTTGTACTGAAATTTATTAAAGTTGCTCAAATGGCACATTACAGAAAAAATAATGAAAGAAAATTAATAAAAGAATAAAAGTCAACAGCTGAGTATATAATGTGTTTTGAGTGTGAGGCACAGGGCAGTCTTCAGTTTTGTATCACACTGAAAATGTGTCTGCTGCAAATGAATAATCAACAGGGCAGAGATTAGATAAAACATGTACTGTAAATCCTTTGTCCTAAACCACACAGTCAACTTCATTGAGGACAATCCTTCTAAAAGTAATCACTTTTTCTACACTGAGTGAAGCCACTCATCAGTTGCTGTCTCATCTCCTTCAAGTGGATGGATCACTGGGTGGGCAGAATTCTCTGACGGGTCGGGGAGGTGTGAGGCGTGGACAGCCTCTCTGAGGAGATGGATGACGTCAGCGAGGACTGCAGGTAGACCGTCTTGTGGAAAAGCTTGTTACTGATCAGCACAACAAGGGAGAAGAGACGCAGCTGGAAGTGGCTGGAAGAGTGGAAATGGCATCAGTCACTCATGCACTGACACAAGTAATTTAAAAAAGGTTTAAATTTTACACTTACTACAGCTTTGTTGGCGTCCTGGCCTCATTAGCGCTGATGATGAACAGAGGGAAGAGGATGGAGAACAAGCAGCCACTAGCAGCAAAGAAAAATAAGTAGGACAAAGTAAAGGCAGAGGACATGGGCTGTGTGCGCTCCAGACTGTCTACAGAGGAGTTTTATTTGCTGCTCTGGTTGACATCCTACCTTTCACTTATATTTTCCATATGTCACTTGTCAAAAAAAGCCCTTGTCTGTAGTGCTGCAACTACCTATCATTTTCATCATTTGATTTGATTTGATTTGATTTATTTATTCTTTCAAGCATATAAAACAGTTGATATAACAACACCCATTTTTACACACAATCCAATATCAATTAGCTTATACCTAGTACATGCTTGAATGGAGTAGGAAGAAGTCAGACTTATCCAGTCCTACCCCATGACATCATCTTACCATCATTGGTTTGCAAGCAGTAAATGATTCACTTCTGCACACACACACATTATACTAAAAAAGAATATTACAGTGTTAACATTCTTAAATCATCAGTTAAGTTGCAGATTATTTTATCAATTAAACCTTTGGTCTATGAAAGATCAGAAGGCAGTGTAAAATGGCCAGAGCCCAATGGGACATGCTTGAATTGCTTTATCTAACCTTATCACTCCGTCAGATATTCAGTTTACTTTTGTCAACGACAGAGGAAATTTCAAATCCTCACAGCTGAGAGGCACAAACCCGCAGTGTTTACCATTTCTGGTGAATTTTAGAATGAATGAAACTATTTATCAAATCAAAATTTAAAAACAAATTTGATGTCAGATCAACATACAGTATTTTAACCTGTTTTATAATTGCACCGAGGTTGGGAAGCACCACTGGACTTGAGACAAAATGTGACTGGGGATGCTAGTGATTCTTGAGATGTGCATGTGTTCTTGTTTTTCAGAATGTCACAGGTTTGAGGAAGTTCATTTCAACATTAAGCTAAGGTTATTTTGTTACATATAATGTTCCCAACTGCAAAGAATTAACTTTCGAATGACTCACTATAAAAAATATTTTAAATTAAAAATTTGTAAAATAGGATTTTTGTATGTTATGGACACTATATGTACCAAATGTATTTGAACAAAAACTTTGTTTCATATACAAAAATGTAATGTCTCTGATTTGAAAGGAGCTGAAAAGGTAGGCCATGAAGTTAGGAACTGTTTCTGTGGCAATATGTTAAGTCTGTAGAGCCACTGGAAAATGGATGTTACATTCACTCTTACTTGTTAAAAGCAGTCCTTCAACTAATGATTATTTTCCTTATCGATCACATTAACAGCAGTCTTACCTGATTATGTATGAGGAGGGCAGGGCAGTGAGCAGCGCCATGGGTAAACCAAAGCCAAAGTAATAGGGCCAGTTCCTCTCAATATTGGAAAGCCGTTGGTGCATCTCAATGCCTTAAACAAAGGAACAGCCACTTTCTTGGTGGAGTTCTCCATTTAATGCAGATGATTTATTTTGGGTATAAAATGTATCTCACCATTGTTGAACCAGCGATACTCAAAGCAGTACAGGGAATAGAGCAGAGACATGTGGAGGAGGCTCACCATCTGTCCAATGGCGTCGATGGGGAAGAGGCTAACGATCATACCCTAGAGGACCATGAAAATACAGAACACAATTATATTCACCAAGACTGTAATGACTTGTGCATTTTTATCTCATTTGCTTTAGGTTAATGAGTGGTGATTTTGTCTAATTTGTGCATTCAACAAGTAACTGAAGCCTTCAGTACCAGTTTCTGAAATAATTTTGATGTTCTGAAAGTTCTTTGAATTGACTTGAGAGTCTAGGAATGAAACTGTTTGCCTGACCAGATGCAGATGATACTGCTGACAGCAGCTGTTTTCAATGACCAAACTCTTTGTGCAAAGTTAACTTAAGAGATCTTTGCATGCCTACAGTGATAGATGACAACAGCAACCTCACATCAGAAACACAGAAGAAGAAGACCAGTTTATCAGTGTGCAAAAATGTACCTGAATGAGGAAGAGTGCCTGGAGGAGGAGGTTAAAAAGCATATCTGCGATGATCTTACTGACACTGGGGAATGGCTGAGCTTTACAGCCAGACACTTCAAATGCTAGGTCAGCGATATCCTGTAACAGAGAATAGCACACTAATATCTAAATGCGCCACTGAAACAAAAGTGCAACAAAGCATATAAAATGTACTGATAAAGATTAGCACAGCTGTCTTTTGCTTTGCAATAGAAATATGTGATGACAGGACATAAAACACAGTCTGCTGTGCTTGAATGTGCTCTAAGTATATACGGTGAATATAGGAAGCTCATGGTGTCTGTGTAATTAAATCATTTTTGATTTTATTAGTACATATTTTGCACCATTGCACTTGATTTCGCATAAAAGTGCCGAGAAAAGCCCAAAATAGCAACTAGTTAGACATTCAGACACTGCTGTGTATGCTCTAAGCTAGCAGCTGCCTCATAACAAAAGTCCTTTATTTTGGTTTCATCTAATTCGCAGCAGAGCTTTTACTTTGAAGCAGCTGAAACTGCTGGAGTCCACTTGAAAGGTCTGACTTCAGTACAACTCACTGATCAATAAAAGTTTGTCCATAATTATGGCACCGAGGATTTTGCCATTGTTTGTGCTTTTTCTTATAAAGAATCTATTGAAACATTATTCTGGAAGAACAGACACCATTATAAGTGATTGAAGAAGCAGAGCCAGCATTATGAATCTAAGCTGAATTGAAGTTACTGTACTATTATAAAAACCTATACTCGAGTGACTATAGAATGATACATTATGCAGTCATAGATAGTTTATAACAAAATCCATTTGAAATGCTAGAAAAGGATACCATTTTCATTCCTTTATGCAGTGGGATCTACACATAGGTTTGAAAAGCCCACGTTTTTGTCATCACATCATTAGAGCCTAGTAAAGCCAGGCCTAACCTGGAACCAGATGGCATTGACTATCTTGCTGAGGACAAACAGAGGGAGAACCCAGAGAGCACTGAAGACGGAGGTCAGGATGAACTCTAACCAGGACCACACATTGCCATGTAGGGAGGGGTCACCTGGAGCAAAAACAACTTGTTGACTGACTGGATCCTGCCACAAGCTGGAGAACCTGCACTATATTCAGTAGCAGCAATACATACCAATAATTTTTGCTGTGAGACTCTGCAGCAGTGGGATAAACACCCGGTAGAAGAGAAAGAGACTGAGCTGGAGAGAAAATGAAAGGCTGCAGTTACTCTTCTACTCATCATACTTGAGACTGAGTTGTGCAGTGCAACAACAAAATCTAAGAGAAATGGGATAACTACATGCAGCTGTTTGATAGAACAGTCATCACTGAGCAGGGTCAGAATCTGGTGCTTTGCTTCAACAGTCTCAATGATATTTTAAGGTTACATAAATCTTAAAAACAACAGGTCAGGAAATTCAAATTTAATTGAAAAGAAAAACTGTCTGGAAGCTTTATGTTAATCTAACCAGAATAAAAGATTTTTAAGATTTTTGAAGCCAGCCCCCAAATGTTTGGAGACAGAGGTATCTGATGCTAAATAACATGTGTAGTAGAGCTGGTTTTCTGACAGATTATTTCTTCACCTGGCTTCTACAAGTAGTATTTGTTCCCAAAATTGTACAGATGATGCATCTGGGACGGCAAAATGCTACTAAACTGCCATCCTGAAAAATGAGAACCTGATGCTGTTGCGTTGTCAGGGGTGTGTAAGAGACAAGGCTGTACTGTAACAGTAGGATCTTAAATATCTTACCCAGAACACTCCCCCATTCCAGGCACAACACTGAAAAATCCTGCTGGCTACTTTGGGTTCACTAAAAGAGAAAATTGTTTAGTATACATGTGCAAGAGCCTCTGAGATTGTCACACATAATGTGTGTTAAGCACAATAGCATCTAACTAATCAATTTAAGCTTTTTTCCTATCAACTGAATCTCTGCTGTCTGAGATTCCTCGGCCCTGGTGGCCTTGAGTGGGATTATCTAAGCATTAGCTTTGAGAATTACTGTAGGGCAAATAAAAGGACAACACGCTTAACAGTTTACTGGCCCATCTTGTTTAATGCTTCAGTGATGCTGAAATGGGAATGTCACCAAACTCTTGAAATTCTTTATGGAGGTCAGCATGTAGGTCATTCAGGCATATGATATAGAAAACCTTCCAACCACAAGTTGCTTACATGTTTAATGAGCCATAACAGATGCTCAGAGGATTATGCTGACCTGAGTTCAACATTTACTTTTTAGCTGTGTAAAGTCCTGCTCTCATTTTAAACTCCTTGCCTGAATCTGAACCATCCTTTATGCTCAGTCAGATATAACCACTGAACTGCATCAGAGAGTTTGTGGAAAATGGTACATTTTGTGAGAATCATGTCAGTGCAAGAAGCCTGTTAAAGTCCATCACACACAACCTATTTTAATTCTTTCAAGTGGATTTGTAAAAATGTTATGAAAAAACTGCTAAGTTAAGCTACCGAGTACAAAATGTTAAACTGTTAATGGAAGGCAAAAGAAGTTACTGAACCCCATAAACAATAATATATGCAGAGGCATAAACAAAAACAATGAACATTTTCTTAATTAGTCTGAATCAAATAACAGTAGCATTGCACCAAAATATGCAGCATTATTTTTTTAGGCCTACTTGTCCGGTTTGCGCTCCTCACTCTGTGCCCTTCTCTGTGCCAGGGCCCCACTGGCCCTTCTCCTCCGCTGCTCTTCTCTTTTCTGCTGAATGCGAGCATCCAGCTTGGAGATTGTTCCGATCCCCAATATGGAGTCCTTGATCCCCTAGAGAGCCCAGAGCAAGACTTGTTGAAATGAGCTCTGTAATGGGGACTCAGCTAGTCCTTCTTAGACTTGTTCTTTCAGTACACAAACCTGTGTATAGCCAGTGCTTCAGGCCAAGATTTATCTTTATGATTAAGCAATATCATGATTTACCAGATTTTTTTTTTAAGCTGAAAAATCCTCTCAAACAGCATGAAAAGATATTCTCCTTGAAAAGCCATATAAATGTTGTTCTTTGAGGGCCCAGTCTTCTAAAATACAATTACATCCTTTAACAGCGATGTTAAGGGAAAGCCCCCCCCATCATATGAGAGGTAGATAATGGAGGTTGGCTGATGACAGGATATCATGCTGAAGCTCACTTTATAATATAGATGATTGTTGACCTAATATGGATCAACAGCTATTGTACACTGTTTAATGGCAGGCTCCATAAAGTTTATTCTGCTATATGCTGGTAGCAGAGGGACCCTATTAAGGGGTGAACAAAAAAGGCATCTGGAATTATTCCAAAGTGAAAAATTATCTTTAGACTGAAGTACAATCAAGATAATAACTAGGAAATTAAGTTCAACAATCCTCATTTGTCCTGGAAAAAGTCATACAAACAACCCTGCATCTTCTGATAATTTGCCCTTCATTCTGAGCAAAGGTTTTAGGCACTTCAGATGTTTAGATTTTTATCTAGGGCTGCACGATAAATTGTTTTGTCAGTGCAATTAAGATCCCTGTGCAATCTCAGTCTCACATGTCAATGATTCTGCCATGTTTGCATGAGCAGGAAGATGCCTTGCATCAAACCAAATACTCCCTTTTCCTCGTCAAGTTGCAATAACCAATAGCA